CCTAATTTCAGTGATATTGTTATCTTGGAGTAGCATCTGCCTTCCTTTTGACAATCTCTTTCCACAGGTACACTGTTAATTTGGTTGTGTTCTTTGTTGATAAGAAGTTGCCAGGTGCAATCTTATACCCTCCTGTGTCATGTAAATCAGCCATATGATGCATTCTGTAACAATCTTTTGTCGTAATTCTGCAGAAATGCCAGATCGTACAAATGGATTATCTTTGCTTCCAGTAAGCACAAAGGATAAAGACGGCAAGATGAAGGAAGAACTCCATAAACTTGAGAAGGACGGGAGGATGATGGATGAGTTCCATAAATTGTTAAATGGAAACACTGTCGATGCTACAGATTGGGTACTATAACAGTTCTCATCACCTCACAATTTCTGAATTATCGTAAATGGTTTGGGGTACCTTTCAGTGCACGGCTGCATGCACAAATTTAAAATGAACTATTGTATTATATATCACTGCTTTCGCAGCTCATCACATCATAACCTCGTGTTTTTGGTACTGAGCTTTCGTGATACATCTTTTTCTGATTATCTCAGCGACAACGAGTGCAGATGAATGGAAAGCATGGAGAAGACACGAACCACACAGTGTCTGATGCCACCCCTACTGGGACATGATCAGCAGCCTTTCTTTGTCATATTGTCTTTAACATCCACGGGAGTCTGCGAGGAAAAAGAAATTGCGTGGTGTGCCTCTGTATCACTGTATGATGAAGGGCTTCTCAGGTACCCGCAAGGCTGCAACAGCATTTTGTTCTGCTCTCCATGGCCCGATGACAGATAAATGAGGTGTTGAAGTAGTGGTAGAAACTGTAATAGAATCAGAATCTCGTGGCTTTTCTCAGAGACCGCAGCTGCAGTTTTGCATCCTGAAGACCTTTCAGAACCGATCATATTAGAGAGAAATTGATGTTTTATGTATATATCGATTAGATTCAGCTAGTTCTCATCCCCAAAGAAAAACTATTCATCTTTGGTAGTGAGTAATGACTAGCTTATGCTGATTGGTAGTTTAACGTTAGAAACTGTTATGATCGCTTTTGTTGGAGCCCTGTGAACTGTGATACACCCCTTTGATCTTTGAATCTCCAACCACCACTTATCGAATGGAGTGACGGGATAGACCACCGTCCCCCGGGCTCACGAGACCTGAATGGCTCACCCGCTCACGGGTACGGCGCCCTTAAAGAAAAAAAAAAGCAGCGCTTGACTGGGGATGCCGCGAGACGAGCGGATGATGTAAAGCACATGCATCCGCTGCGTTCCGTGCACGGAGCTTCCTGCCATGTGACATGGCCGGTTTGCATTTGCGGCGCTTACCCATACCCATGTCAGCGGTGCAGCCGTGCAGGTGCGTGGCCCGAGTACACTGAATGCAATGCACGGCTTGTGAAGCGATATATGGCAGTTGCTCTGCTCCACTATGACATCTATCATACAGTCTACACGATGATAAAAGCTTTCCCATTTCTGCCATAATAGCCAACAGTTGCAGTCTGAATCTCTCTGAATAAATAGCTGTTTGTGCTTGTGCTACTTCTACCGTGCAATTGCAGAAATCAGAAATGTTGCCAACTTGGCAATTACTTGCACATAGGAGTATCTTTTGAAGAAGATTCATCTGAAATGTCGTGCAATTAATAAGTGCTGATTTGCCGTAGCTCGAGTGCATCTTCCTTCAATCGCGGCAAGCTGCATGTTACTGGACCCAGCCCCACGTTTGGCTATTTGGAGCTGGACTGGAGTACATCGGTACTGATTATTTAAACTTGCGGAACCTGATGCTGCCGTTTGGTTTGGGTACGTCGATCCTTCCCTCTCGGGCAGATCAAACCATTGAGTGGCTATCATAATTCATAACTAAGACGAGCTCCGGTGAGACCGGCTTGAATTGAAGGACGTAAGCATGGACCAGAAGCCTATCCTGTACTAGCTGCTGCCTGTTTAGGATGCAAGAATTCTGTCCTGGACAAGGTGCAGTGTCCTGCAAAACATCCTAAATAATGGGGATTCGGCGGCCCTCCTGCCCCTTGGATGTCCTATTTTGATTCGGCGGCAACGCCTCTTGCATGGCCTATTTGAACCTCACTGTCAACGAGTACACCGCCCACCACATATAGCATCATTTATTTCTGGAATAAATCCAAGACAATATGATCCCCTCTGCAAAGTCGAGCACATAACCTGTTCGACCTAGATAGACATATTCCACCACCAAGAATGTAACCAACTAAGCTACAAGATCTAATAACCTACTTACCCAGAAGGTAGACAAATCATGCAAGCGTGACGCAATGGAAAATAAGATCTTCCACTCCCCATTCACCACCACTCACAAACCAATCTTTACAGAATAGCCCGCTTTCCTTCTTTTCTTTTCTTTTTTCTGCGGCATGTGTTGTCGTACTCTACAAAATTAACACCACTCTTCATTTCACCCAAGCAACTCTTGTTCATCTCCAGTTCTTTCTCAGCCAATTTGCATTCTGAAACTTGCCCATACTTCGTCTGTCATGGTTTTGGAGCTTTTATTAAGAACAATGTGCACCAAGAGAGTACTCATCCAGGAACATTGAAGTGGCAGAGCCAGGATATATGACATAAACACCATGCAAGCGAGAAGGAATTTGAGGAACCGGTGCCCTTGCCAAAATCTCCGAGGCTCGGTGGCTGTTGCCTGGGCAGATGCAGTGTTGCTTGATTCATTCCACTGCTCGATGAAGTCCGCATCACATAAACCTGCCACGTTGCACGCGCTTGAGCCACAGATTTCGCAGATCCTAAGACAATGAAAGAAGGGATGGAGACACTTAAAAGAGATCCTTGTTTGCATTGAGTAATATGTTGCGATGCAAATTTACTTAAAATGACACCAGGGCAACATATTTCATAATGCGCAACTACTCAAATACTATACCACAAGCAACGCAAAGCTTTAATATGATACAAACTGAATCAAGATGAACACATAACATAGGCCTAGTTTCATCTGAACTAGAGCAACAAAGTTATGTCTAGTGATTTTGTAAGGATACTGATGCATCTTTGCATTTTTATCTTGACTCCATTTATATACTTCTCATGGTTACCTCAATTCAAGTGATTAATCATTAAACACAAGAGGGTGTCTATTGATATCATGCATAACAATATAAACTCACTTTCATAATTTTCAATAATACCAAAATAACTAGGAGGTTTGGAAAGACGCATCCATTGTTTTGGGGAAAAAAAGTTTGCTGTTATAGACATAAGTAGTAAAAGTCTTGGCTATAACACCTTGACAATAAAGCAACTGAAAATCTGTATACCCCCCCAACCACCACCACCACAACACCACCCAAAATTCATCTGGATGTTTGCATTTGAATTGAAGCGTACTTGATGCATCCTTTTTCTTAATTGACGTTTCTTCAAGATGATATGTTGGTGTAAAGTTATTTTCATGTATGTTTGATCTACAGACATGGTTGATGAAAAATCTGAGAGTGCACAGGAGAAAGTCCAGAAATAAGGCTCTACTGATGTACCTTAACTCAGGTTCTCCTCTTATGGAATGTGCCTTTCCCCACTTCATTTTTACTATAACTGCAAACCACAAATCTAGACTTTTTTTCTCGAACACGCATGAGGCCTGCGTATCTTTGTATTAAGATAGAAGAGTTTGTTACAACACGCATAGCATCACCGCTCGTCAACCTGGTTCACTAGAAGCTATTACAGATGAACAGACAACCTTGCTAGTGGGATTGAATCAAACAAAGTAGCAGTTGTTCTGTTACGAATGAACTAAACAGCCTAGCTTTGTGGCACCCGCTTCAATCCAGAGCTCTCCTTCTTGGCAGATTTTGAGCAGCACTTGATTAATCATCGAGGTTTCTCCACGGAACAACTGGGCATTCCTCCCTTTCCAGACCTGCCAGCTTACTAGAGCGAAGAGCTGAGTTGAACCCCTTCTGTTTTGATCCTCCTCCAAGCGCCACGTAGTTGTAGCTACCAATCCTATATCGATTGGTTCTCTGACGGTTGGGGACATGCCACTCCTAGCCCTGACAGGATGTTACACCATATTTGTAGTGTGTATGAACAGGAAACAGAGGTGATCACACGTCTCAGTCTTCCTGACCACAGAGGTAACAACCAGAACTTGCTTCAAGTCCATGGCACTATCAACAATCAAGCGGTCCAGTGGCAACCTTTAAACCTCAGCCAGAGAAAGATTTTCAATTTGAGGGGTGCCCAGCATTTCCAATTGAGCTTGTAACTCTATACAAATCTAGTATTTATATACCTGATTGTGACGGGAAACTGCACCAGCCACTCTATACACTGTTTTAGATTAAGCATCTTCTGAATAATGTTTGACACGAAAAGCACAGCTGCAGAGCAAATTTTCGGATTCAGTGACCGGTAGAGCTTATAACCCTTATAAACTCCAGTCCTAAATCCTATATGTGGAATTCTCAGCCTAAACGAACTATTTGGAAAACAATTTGGCACACCATCTTGGGTGAACTATGACAAGTTTTGCATGAAGTAAACACTTGAGTGGAAGCCGACACGATGGCACCACCGCACCAGGACCACCATAACAAAGTGACTCACATTCAGGATCTAGAGAACTACACAGGAATCTGCGAGAGAGCCAGCCCGAAGAGGGAATCCTACTTTATCCACTCTCCAATGTTCCATAACCTACGAATCAACTACAACCGATTCCACTTTATCCCCACCACCACATCCCCTTGAAACCTTTATCAACCCACCTAGTTAAAGCAAAATATCAATTCCAATTACAGATTCCTTAGCCACATGTTCGTGCAGACACATGGCATGTTTTTTTCATCACAAAAGCCAGGTTTGCAGTTGCAGAACTCGTAAACACATGAAGATATTTTAATTCTAGCCTGTAATAACTGTAAACTTGACATGTAAAAAGGCAATCATGCAAAGAGGATTTTGTATGGAGATAGCAGTGAGTGGGCTTACTTGTTGCCTCTGATCTTGAACCAGGTCTCGGCGCACTGCTTGTGGGCACAGGAGAGGTCGTCCTTGCAGGAACAGCCGAGCACGATGCCGGCGCCGGACTCGGCAGCGGCGCTGTCCAGGCCGAGGTGGCAGATGCGGCAGTTCCTCTCGGCCTTGTCCGGGCTGGCCTTGGTGATCTCAGCCAGCCCGGCCTCCAGGTCGACGACGTCGTCGTCGTCGTCCAGCGAGCACTCCGACACGCACGACTTCCTGGCGCGTTCGGTGGCCGTGTCCACGCCGACAGCACTGGCGGCGCCGGCGTCGCAGCTGATGGGCGCGGACGTGGAGATACAGATCCTCAAAGGCGGAGCCTTGTCGCGAGAGTGCGAAGTGCCAGGACCGGTCCTCAGCATCCGAGAAGCGCTGGCTCCCCTCCTCCTCGTCCGAGCTCTCCCCCGCGAGCCGCCGCCCGCCGCCGCTCACGCGGCCCCTCTCCACGACGCCAGGCTCGACGGCGGCGGCGGCGCTAGCGGTGGAGGTGATCGCCGATTGCTCGCCGCCGTTCACCATGGCCAACGGAGCTAATCCAAGAAACGGAAAGGGATCACTCATATTGCTCCGGCATCCACTCCGGATAAAGAGCAAATCGGGAAGGCAGCAGACAAGAAACGCCGAAAGCGCGCAGTAAATCGTACCGCGCTATTGCGGGCGGCGTCCAGGAAAGCAAACGTGAAGAGTCCCCCCAACCCAATGCGGCCGATCACGACAAGAAGCGGCAACAAGAATCCAACCAAAGCGGGTGGA